ACTCCACACACACATACCTACCACACAAACCCACACACCGCACTAACTCCACACACAAACACACCTACCACACAAACCCACACAGCGCACTAGCTCCACACACACACATACATACCACACAAACCCACACACCTACCATACAAACCCACACACTGTACTAACAACATACACATACTTACACACACCTATACAATACAACACAAACCACACACCGCACTAACTCCACACACACATACCTACCACACAAACCCACACACCGCACAAACCCCACACACACACTTACCACACAAACCCACACACCGCATCAACTCCACACACACATACCTACAACACAACCCACACACCGCACTAACTCCACACACACATACCTACCACACAAACCCACACACCGCACAAACCCCACACACACACTTACCACACAAACCCACACACCGCATCAACTCCACACACACATACCTACCACACAAACCCACACACCGCACTAACTCCACACACATACCTACCACACAAACCCACACACCGCACTAACTCCACACACACATACCTACAACACAACCCACACACCGCACTAGCTCCACACACACCTACCACACAAACCCACACACCACACTAACTCCACACACAAACATACCTACCACACAAACCCACACACCACACTAACTCCACACACAAACATACCTACCACACAAACCCACACACCGTACTAACTCCACACACACATACCTACCACACAAACCCACACACCACACTAACTCCACACACACACACATACCTACCACACAAACCCACACACCACACTAACTCCACACACACACATACCTACCACACAAACCCACACACCGCATCAACTCCACACACAAACATACCTACCACACAAACCCACACACCGCACTAACTCCACACACATACACACCTACCACACAAACCCACACACCACACTAACTCCACACACACTACCACACAAATCCACACACCGCACTAACTCCACACACAAACATACCTACCACATAAACCCACACACCGCACTAACTCCACACACAAACATACCTACCACACAAACCCACACACCGCACTAACTCCACACACAAACATACCTACCACACAAACCCACACACCGCACTAACTCCACACACAAACATACCTACCACACAAACCCACACACCGCACTAACTCCACACACAAACATACCTACCACACAAACCCACACACCGCACTAACTCCACACACAAACATACCTACCACACAAACCCACACACCACACTAACTCCACACACATACCTACCACACACCGCACTAATAACATACATACACGCATACACACACATCCATACAACATAACCCACACACACACACATACCTACCACACGATCCCACACCACTCACCAGGTATCCCGATCATGAGCAGGAGAAATGAGAAAAAGATCATCAAGATCTTCTTCGTCCAAATCAGACCCTCAGTGTACGAGTCGATGGACATCAGATACTTGGTCTGGTTAATCCAGTAGATGTCGTTGTGGATCATGGTGTCGTTAATCCAGTGGATAGAATAGCCTTAATCCAGTGGATACAATAAAATTTAATCTAGTGGATACACCAGCATTTATCAAGTGGATACACTAGACTTTAATCCAGTAGATGTCGTTGTGGATCATGGTGTTAATCCAGTGGATAGAATAGCCTTTAATCCAGTGGATACAATAAAATTTAATCTAGTGGATACACCAGCATTTATCAAGTGGATACACTAGTCTTTAATCCGGTAGATGTCGTTGTGGATCATGGTGTTAATCCAGTGGATAGAATAGCCTTTAGTCCAATGGATATAGTAGCCTTTAATCCAGTTGATACAATAACCTTTAATCCAGTGGATAAATTAGTCTTTAATACTATGGATAGAATAGCCTTTAATCCAATGATATTGGTGGCCTTTAATCCAGCTGATACAATTATCTTTAATCCAGTTGATAAAATAGCCTTTAATACTTTGGATACAATAGACTTTAATGGATAAATTAGCATTTAATCCAATGGATAGAAAAGCATTTATTCTAGTAGATACAATACTATATGATGCAGTGGATGCAAAGGCTTTAATCCAGTGGATACAGTAGCTTTTAATTTAATCCAGTGGATAAAATAAACTTTAATCCAGTGGATTCACTACACCATACCACAAGAGAAACGTCAATCCTTTACCCTGATTTGATTGGCCAATTTGAACCACGTGGGTAAAGTTCGTGAGCTAGCTAAGGTCTTTACATTCAGGAAGTGACGTTTTAGTTTTCTGGCAAGTAAAATTGAATCATTTCTTGACTGTGGTAGTCCTACATGACCTAGCATAGCGTAGAAAGCGATATAAATACAGCAGATCAGATCTGATACGTGCGAGAATTTGGTGGGGCACTACACGCTAAAACCTAGGGAGACTGGGAAAACTTGGGGGGGGGGGGATGGGGGGGGGGGGGGTAGACGCTAAAACTTAGCGAGACTGGGAAAGCTTGGTGGGGGTGGGGGGGGGGTATTACACGCTAAAACCTAGGGAGACTGGGAAAACTTGGGGGGGGGGGGTGGGGGGGTACACGCTAAAACCTAGAGAGACTGGGAAAACTTGGGGTGTGGTGGGGGGGGGGGGCCGGGGGGCTATACGCTTAAACCTAGGGAGACTGAGCCCTACACGCTAAAACCTAGGGAGACTTGCACGTATAACACTGAGCTTATATGATCTGGTCTTGACCGCATAATTGGTTATTAATACGATATTCACTGTTTCACACTAGCTAGAACTAGATGTACTGATTAAAAATAGTGAAAGTATGAGAATAATTATTACATTAGTAACAAACTGTCTGAATCATATTTGATTGAACGGATCAAGTGTATTATAATATAAAACATTACCGCATTCACTTAAAACAATTTAATCTTCAACACTAAAATTGTAAATCTATATTTGCATTATTGTAATTGAATTTGTTTTAAAATTTAAATCCCGTAATTTTTTATAGCAGAAAAACAAAGTTTGTTTTTACCGGAAGTCAATTTTACTGTATCGATTAAATTCCGAAAACAGAATTTAAAAAAAAAATTCATAAAAAACGTTTTAATAACAAGCTTTTATGTAATGATGCACTAAAAAGTAGAAAATAAATTATAGACTACTATTTAAATAACTATAAAGAAAAGCGTGGGTCACTTTAGTATCTATTGGATACCTTTACTAATGTTAAGGAAGACACCCACGCTTTTCTTTATAGTTATTTAAATAGTAGTCTATAATTTATTTTCTACTTTTTAGTGCATCATTACATAAAAGCTTGTTATTAAAACGTTTTTTATGAATTTTTTTTCAGTACTTTACATGTTTTATCTACAATAGAGTTACATGACTAAAAACCATTGCGCGCCTACTGAATATCACGTTCAGTAGGCGCGCAATGGTTTTTGAACGCAGCCATTACGTGGTCGTGATGGCGCAGCTATTGATGACGCGTGTGGTGTGGTTGGCTAGACATGCCTACTAATTCGGTCCAAATTTTAATTAATTCATAAAAAATCAATTAGGCATCCAATTAAGTCAAATTTAGTTTCAGATTGCATTGTCTTCATGTCTTGACCCACGTGCCAACTGTGAATCGTGTCGGTCAAGTAGAACTGTCCGAATTTTCACTCCTGCGTTTCCGTCTAGACAGACTGACGACTGACGACTGACGACTGACGAGGAAGTGAGTTAAATAAAAGCTTGTAAAAACAACTAAATTTCTATACACTTTTTTTTAAACCTTTAAGTAAATAGCGTAGAGATAAAGTTTCTTTGATCTGTTTTATTCATCGTTAGACCCACACACTCACAACAAAAGAATGTGAAATATACCTAAAGTAACGATTGTATTGAATGTTTTAAGTCTTTTAATTTTATAAGCTTCTTCTTTTTCTACTAGAACAGTCTTCAAACTCCTGACTAAATATCCGCTACTAGCAGTGGAATATGATAAACTGCTTTATATATTTAGACAATTTGTTAAAAAAAAAATTAAAGTATAATTTTAATGGGCTAAATTTGAGCTTACTTGGTATAGCGTTTGTTTTTGTTGAATTATAGTACCAATCATATATTCTAGAGAATAGATGTAATATTTTTGGTTAAATTTTGGTTACTTTCTAAATCTATCGAGTTGCAGTTACTACGATTAAATATGTATTTAAACTGCTTACTTAACTTAGTTACTATGGTTACTAAATAACTAATTTTTTTGCGTGTGTAGGGGGTGTTATGTAACATTGATTGTTATATATATATATATATATATATATATATATATATATATATATATATATATATATATATATATATATATATATGTATATATATATATATATATATATATATATATATATATATATATATATATATATATATATATATATATATATTATATGCCTGTGTATATCTGCTGCTTCTTCGTTCTTAATTTTTAGTGTTGGGCGGGATCGAGCCTTATCTGCCAGAGGGTTTGAACTCGAGACTTTTTTTCAAATTTAAATCCATGAGCTTTGCCGACTCAACTACGCCTCCAACACAATTAAGGATTACGTGTCAGCTGGTTATGCGCCATCGACTTAGATTTCAGCCTGCTTTTCTTTTTGGATTTGCTTCCATAGCCTTTATCCAACCAAGAACAAACTACAAGGCAGCAGTTGTTTGATTTTGGAGTTGTCTCTCCTAGAAGAGCGGCTGTCCCCAGCTAACGAGCCTCATCTGACCGAGGGTTCGAACTCGAGACGTTTAGCAACCATGAGCTTTACCGACTCGACCACGCCGACCCCTTGTGTATGAGCACTCAAAATTAAACAAGAACAAATAAAGACAAAACGGCCTTTCAGTTTCGATATTTTTTTTTATTACACATCTCAACATTGGTTCTTCACAGACTGAGTTAGACGAAACAGACCAAAAACTTTGACAGTCAGTTTTAAGGCTGTTCCGTCCCTTTATATTGTTCTTCGTCTATCAACAACTGCATTCGTCACCGTACTGAAAAGATGAAATACAGTGTGTATCGTATGTGTGTATCGTATGTGTGTGTCATATGTGTGTATCATATGTGTGTATCATATGTGTGTGTCATATGTGTGTCATATGTGTGTATCATATGTGTGTATCATATGTGTGTGTCATATGTGTGTGTCATATGTTCATCATTAGGCTGTTATGGCTATGTATATTTTTTTGGCCGATGCTAGCCGGAATAAGATACGCATGCGTGTGTTTACAACCGCTGAACCCGAACACCAACCCTAATCCTAACCCTAACCCTAGCCCTAATCATATCCCTAGCCCTAATCCTATCTCTAACCCTATCCCTAATCCTATCCCTAATCCTACCCTAACCCTTATTCTAGCCCTAACCCTAGCCATAGGTCACTGCGCATGCAGAGCTATCTTTTGCCGACTAAGTGGAGACGTTGGGGAGAAAAATCTTCCGAGTAGTCACTTCGATTTTTTTTACACCAAAAGTTTATCGTGTAACTTGCGTATATTTTTATTCACAAATACCTAATAGACATACATACGTTGTAACAGACATACATTGATACATTCACAACAGACATTGATGCGTTAGTACATACATACATTGAAACATTCACAGTCGAAATACTTTAGTAGCTACATACATACATACTTTTAAAAATTCATGATAGACATACATGCATTGGAACAAACATATATATATATATATATATATATATATATATACATATATATATATATATATATATATATATATATATATATATATATATATATATATATATATATATATATATATATATATAATATATATATATATAATTCTCTTCTTGGAGACGTTAGAAAACACCAAGCTGTAAGCGCGCTCCCTACCACCCCCACCCCTACATGGTCTGGCGAGCTGTGGTTCACGCTAAATGTTTACAATCGTAGAGCGGATAATTTAGTTTGAAACGATTTTAAACTTAGGAAAGGTAACTAAGAGGAGGCTGCTTTCACGGGGGAGGGGGGGGGAGGGGTTGGGAAAAGGAGGGGAGGGAGGTTATCGTTCTTAACGACCTACTGATAGTGTTTTAAAGCAACTATATTCAGTGGCAGCATTGGTACTGTCGAATTCACAAATTATGAATTACTGAAAAATAGAAAATAAAACAACTAAATTTGTCTAAATAGCGGCGTATAATACGCCGCGGGTCGGCTCGTAATTATATAAACGAAAATATACATTTTCCAATATTCTTTCTAAGAATTGTTATTGTTAACATACTGGGTAATAACCGTCAAAACAAAATGTGTATGTCTTATATAATCTACTCACTTTTCTAATTTTATTAGTATATTTAATTTCTGAATACCTCATTGCTTAAAAAACACATTTCATTAATCGTCACATATCCTTATATTTTATTCATTCATCAACTAGCATACAGCACTTATACAAATCTTCCGATTGTTCAATATTTTCATACCCGTATAAGCCGACCAAAACTACACACCGGTGGCGTAGCGAGGTCGGGTGTCACCCGGTGCGACACTTAATGGTGTCACCCCCAGAGGCGTAGCGACCCTTCCCGCCCCCCGGGGACAAACTTTTACCCCCCCCCCCCCCCACTCAAATTTCGATTTGCACCCCTCCCCCGTCAACCTTTCGATTTGCGACCCCCCCCCCCCCCCTCCACCCTTGTCGGGATTTGTCAAATTTGCCCAAAAAAGACTTTTTAACACTCGAATTAATAACTATATTAAGTGGAATTATCATTTTTCTCTATCTATTTTGCTAATTTTCGCGTTGGTGTCACTCCCCTAAAAGGTGTCACCCGGTGCGGTCTGAACCCCCCGCCCCCCCCCCCCCCCCCCCCCGCTACACACTAGCCTTTTGTTTAAAGACACACCTACAATCACACCCCCTCCCCCTAGGCACACATCAGTCGATGGCTTCTGAAGACGAGACAAAATTTTGGACTTTTAGACCAACCACACTAGACACTAGCCTATGTATATTTAAAGACCCACCTCCCACCATACACCCTTCCCCTAGGCACACATCAATCAATGGCCTGTGAAGTCGAGACAAAATTTTGGACTTTTAGACCAACCACACTAGACACTAGCCTATTTATATTTAAAGACCCACCTCCAATCACACCTCCTCCCCAGAGTTTCACATCAGTCGATGGCTTCTGAAGACGAGACAAAACTCTCAGCATAGAACCGGCTCTCTGGATCTACGGCGCTCTGTCTACTGGGTCTCTTCATCAACGTCATCTCAGACTTCATCTCCGTCGTGAACAACGTGTTCTTCTCCGTCACGGTCTGGGACTTGGTGTCCTCGGCGACACTGACTGGAGGGACCGATGTCACGTTTTCTTGCGCCTTGCCGGATTCTGGATAAGGTAGAGTTTGGATAAACATGCGTATATCCCAAGTTGATTTTTTTAATCAGTAGAGCTAAAGTCCATCCATCCATCCATCCATCCATCCACCCATCCATCCACCCACCCACCAATCCACTCATTCACCCACACACCCACACACCCACCATCCATCCATCCATCCATCCATCCATCCATCCATCCATCCATCCATCCATCCATCCATCCATCCATCCATCCATCCATCCATCCATCCATCCATCCATCCATCCATCCATCCATCCATCCATCCATCCACCACCCACCCTCACACCCACCCACACACCCATCCATACACACACCCACCCATCCGTAAATCCACCCATTCACCCACACACCCACCATCCATCCATCCATCCATCCATCCATCCATCCATCCATCCACCCACCCACCGATCCATCCATCCATCCACCCACCCACCCACCCACCCACCCATCCACCCACCCACCCATCCATCCATCCACCCATCCAGTTTACCTTTTCCCAACCGTGTTTCCATTTCACTATCATAACTATCCAAATCAATGAACAGCCCAAACCACCTCCTGACCGTCCGCACTAGCTCAGCCCTGAATCTCTTGCCAAAGAAACAATAGATGAAGAAATTCGTGGCGTTGTTACTATAGAGGATCACCAACGTGATGTTCAACCCTGGAACCAGTACCGGATAAAGCAGATGAAGTAGAGTAGGCCCCAATACTATAATACGGTGTTACAATATTGCACATTTAATAATAGCCAACTTAATTATACAAAATATTAAATAATACGTAAATTAACATTAAAAAAATAATCCAGAGGCTACTAATTTAAACTGGTATCTTCTGTATCTTAAAATATATAAAAATATGTATTTTCTTAAAGAATAACATATTTCTGAATACAATGAATTTTAAATAATTTAAGCCTTATTTTTAATTTTATAAAATACGAATAATTATAGTTTTTTTTTTAAAAAATAGAACAAATTAGAAGAAAAATTTAAAACTTTCTATTTAAGCATATTAAAATGTTGCTCCGCACAATGTTCGTTGTATTATATGAAGTTCCATCTAACAAATTCTAAGACGGTGTTTAGAACAATTATATAATTTCGACCATTCTTGTCATAATTGAAAAGTACAATCTCAACTTACTAAAATTTGGTCTACTTTTTTTCAAATAACACTACAAATGTTTAACTTTGCATAATAATATTTACAAAGAAAAAAAAACACATTGCGATAATTTTTCTTTGGAGCGTTAGTTTCAAAATATCAAATGCAAACACGGCTTTTCCATCAACTTTATCTCTAAATCACAAAGGCCAACCAAAATGTTTTGTTAGACCGGTCTGTCAAGAAATAAAAAGTGGTGACTAACAGAATTTCGAGCGAGCTTCTCCTAAAGCGCTGTCGATGTCGAACCATTTGGTCATGTTGGTGTAGAGGACCAAGATGGGCGTTGACGTCACCAAGAACTGGATGTTGGACAAAACCACCAACACGACGAGCTGTTGTCTAACTGGGGATGGACAGGGAAACTCTCATAAACCCTACTTATGATTTGAACTCTGCACAATGTTCACAATCACTACCTACTGTTGGAAAAGTTCCCATTGCACATAAACCTACTTACTTTTCGAAATCTGCACAATGTTTACAATCACTACCTACTGTTGGGAGACTGCTCATTGAATATAAACAGTACTTACTTTTCGAATTATTCAAAACGCCCACAATCAGTACTTACTTTTGGAAGACTTCTCATTGCACATACACCCTACTTACTTTACAAATACTGCACAATGTTTACAATCACTACTTACTTTTGGAAAACTTACGTTTCGAACTCTGCACAATGTTTACAGTCACTACTTACTGTTGGAAAACTTCCCATTCCACATAAGCCCTACTTACTTATAGAAATCTGCACAATGTTTACGATCAATACTTACTTTTGGAAAACTTGCCATTGCACATAAACCTACTTACTTTTCGAATTCTACACAATGCCAAAATTAACTACGTACTTTTGGAAAACTGCTCATAGCATAGCACATTAACCCTACTTACTTTTCGAATTATTCTAAACGCCCACAATCAGTACTTACTGTTGGAAGACTTCTTATTGCACATAAACTTTACTTACTTTACAAATTTTGCACAATAATAATATGCTTATTGCATGTAAGCCCTACTTTCTTTTCGAATTCTGCAAAATGCCAAAATTCGCTACTTACTTTTGCAAGACTACTCTTTTTAAATAAACCCTAGTTACTTTTCGAATTCTACCAAATGTTCACAAGTAATACTTACTTTTGGAAGACTTCTTATTGCACATAAACCCTACTTACTTTTCGAATTCTACATCATGCCGACAATAACTACTTACTTTTAGAGGACTGCTCCGTGCTCATTAGCCCCGAATGAGTCCTAAAATGCAGGTAGAGTAGCCCCCCATTGAGAAAAAACAACAGCAGGGCAGGTATTAAAAGCTGAAGGCCTGCTAAAACTTTGACATGGTAGGTCGTATGTTGTAGGTAACACTCCACTTCCTCCCTGTGGATGTACAGATGGGAACAGGTACTCGGATACTATCTCGTTACATGATTTAAACTAAACGTATATATATATATATATATATATATATATATATATATATATATATATATATATATATATATATATATATATATATATATATATATATATATATGTTGGCTGGTACTAAATGATTGGCTGGTTATTTTAAATAGTTGTCACAGGTTGCTTGTTTTTTGTGTAGTTGTATGCTTGGTTGGTCGTAGCTGGATGGGGGGTAATGTTGCCCCTACCCCTAAACGACAGGACGGCGCCCGGTTCTCACGGCGCGGGCGTCTACCAAGGGGTCACCAGAATAATTTATGAGCGTTCTGTGGCCGGAGACCGACGTGACCGGACCCTAGGTGTGTGCATGCTTTGTATTTCGATTTGATCTTTATATATATATATATATATATATATATATATATATATATATATATATATATATATATATATATATATATATATATATATATATATATTGTATAGCAGAGCTCACCCTGAATGCGAGATGAACACTATACCATCCACTATTAACGGAATAGTTACAGCAGCGAGTGCGAGGGTTGTTATGATGAGGACCACGAGAGGGTTGCATGTCGTTAGTTGCTTCGTTCTGTCAAACACGGGATGGATATATGGGATAATGGGATATGGATATTATTGGTTATTAATACAAGTAGACGTGGATATAATTGGACATGGATAAAAGCCAACATGGATACAAGTGCACACGGATATAAGTGGACATGGATGCAATAGGATAACTTTATAATTGGACATTGATACAACTGGATATGGATACAAGTGAACATGAATATAATTGGGCATGGATTCAGGTGGATGTGGATACAAGTGGTCATGGATACAAGTTTAGATGAATACAATTGGACATGGATAATAGTGGATATAGATACTAGTGGACATGAATACAATTAGACATGGATACAATTGGTCACTAATACATTACGACAAAGCGCCAATGTTAGAATTAGACATTTATGAATTGGACATTGATACATTATTTCGTTGGACATTGTTATATTGGATATTGATACATTGCACATTGATATATTGGACATTGATACATTGACAATGTTATATTGGACATTGATATATTGGACATTGATACATTGACAATGTTATATTGGACATTGATATATTGGACATTGATACATTGACAATGTTATATTGGACATTGATATATTGGACATTGATACATTGGACATTGATATATTAGACATTACTAAATTCGACTGATGACGTCACTAATTAACGACTTATGACACCACTAGGTAACGACGCGATGACACCACTAGGTAACGACGCGATGACGTCACTAGGTAATAAGTAACGACCCAACTCACCCATTACCTCTGGACCAGGTAGAAAAATCTACAGGCGGTGATGATGACGACATACCAGCTAGACAGCATCATGAAGTAGACGTAGAAGAACTTCATCACACTTCAGAAACAAAAACAAAAAGTCTTGCATTAGATAAGTAATTAGTAGCTAGTATATTGATTAAGGCCTGTTAGTTAACACAATGAAGTAGACGTAAAAAAACTTCATCACACTTCAGAAACGAAAGAAGTCTTGGATTAGATAAGTATATTTCCTAACGCCTGTTAGTTAACACAATGAAGTAGACGTAAAAGAACATCACACTTAAGAAACGAAAGAAGGCTTGTATTAGATAAGTAATCAGTAGCTAGTATATTGACTAAGACATGTTTATTAAAAGAACACCACACTTAGAAACTAAATAAATCTTGAATTAGATAAGTAGTCAGTAACTAACATATTTCCTAAGACCTGTTAGTTAACACAATGCTATTGACTTTAAAGAACTTCTTCACACTTAAGAATTTGCATATTACGTACGACCTGTTAATAAGCATCTTAAAGTAGACATGGTAGAATTCGATTCCATTTTTGAAAAAACAACGAGTCTTTTAATAGTTGTCAGATAACCGCATATTGCCTAATGTCTTTTAGTTTCCATAATGAAGTATATGTACACCAACTTGGCCACACTTGAAAATTACATGAAACGTACGACCCTTATATAGTCTAAGTCATAACTATAAAATAATAAAAAGTCTATCTTTTCTTTTAGACAAAATGAAGTAGAGTTTATCTGTTTCTTGATCTCGGCATATGAAGGAATAAATTGGGCAGCACTATACCCTGTCGCGTATACTTTCACATATATGGGTCAGGTACCCTTAACAGCTGAGTTGAGACCAATTAATGCGTACATATTGAGTACATTTTGAGTAAACCAGCTAGTGCCTACATGTTGAATACACATTGAATACACATTGAGTACATATTGAATACACATTGATGAGTAACATTAAGTACACAATGAGTATACATGTGTGTATATACAAAGTACACATTTGTATACATATATTGAGTACACGGTCTGTACACATTAAGTACTCATTGATTACACATGTAGTGAGTGTACATTAAGTGCACATTAAGTACACATTGAGTACACATTAAGTACACATTGAGTACATATGAAGTACACATTGAGTACACACATTAAGTACACATTGAGTACACATTAAGTACATATTGAGTTCACATTAAGTACACAGATTAAGTACACAATAAGTACACATTGAGTACAGATTACGTACACATTGAGTACACATAAAGTACACATTAAGTACACATTGAATACACACATTAAGTACAAATAAAGTACACATTAAGTACACATTAAGTACACGTACACACAATAAGTATACATTAAGTACATAGATTGAGTACACATTGAGTACACATAAAGTACACATAAAGTACACACATTAAGTACACATTGATTACACGTACACACAGAGCTTTTGATGCTGTGTCAGCAGGTTAGGGTGCACGATGCGGGTGACGGTGAAAGAGAACATGGTGACCAGCAGGATGATGTTGAGGCCGCACATGCTGATGAGGTAGACGGAGAAGACCGTGTCTCGCATCTTTTTCTTGGAGAGGACGATCACGGTCAGGATGTTGCCTGCACAAGGAGGTGGGGGGGGGGGGGGGGAGAGGTCAGTGGTGTGGGCAAGGATAAATACATGTTGGACCTTGGGGGTGGGTGTAAGCTCCCCCTATCTAAAACAAAACTTTATAAAAAAAAATATAAAAAAGATGGTTGACACTCACACAAATCTGGCTTGATAAAAAAGAAAGTTATATATATATATATATATATATATATATATATATATATATATATATATATATATATATATATAACGTAAATTACCTGGACAACGCAACCTATCTGGACTCAGTTAAAACAGTTTAGCTTGACCTTCAAGCTTGACTATTAGCCTTTATTCTTACCTGGGTCCACCTATTATTATTAGCCCTTCGCTCTTACCTATGACACATAATTTACCTTACCCGTGACAACTTACCTATGACCCAATTCACTTTACCTATGACCTAATTCTCCTTACCTGTGACTCCCAATTTACCTTACCTATGACCTAATTCACCTTACCTGTGACTCCCAATTTACCTTACCTATGACCAAATTCACCTTACCTAGGACACCAATTCACCCTACCTGTGACACCTATATCACCCTACCTGGGACACCAACAGTCAACATCATCGAGTACGACAGCAACACGATATCGTTTGTGATGCTCGTGATCCTCTCCACTTCCGCCAGCACCGCCGTGTTATTCTCATGCGAGCTCTGACCAGCTACAAACTCCATCTTAGGTCCGACCTTGACCTTAGACACCTCACCTGCTCAGGTGTGTGTTTGATAAAGGTAGGTTTCCTTCACACATCAGGCCTGTGTATAGTTGTATTAAAGGAAGAAATTGTTGATATCTCTACAAATATATTCATAGATATAAGCGTTTGGCTGCCAACCCAGAGGTCGAGTTCGGATCTCAGTTAGGAGAAGTGAGTCCCTAAGTCTCTGGGACCTGTGGGTATCGTATCTCTGGGACCTTGAGTCCCTGGGTCTTTGTGACCTTTGAGTCCCTGGGACCTGTTAGTCCCTGAGTCCCCGGAACCTGTGAGTCCCTGGGACCTGTGAGTCCATGAGACCCTGAGACCTGTGAGTCCATGAGACCCTGGGGCCTGTGAGTCCATGAGACCCTGGGACCTGTGAGACCCTGGGACCTGTGAGTCCATGAGACCCTGGGACCTGTGAGTCCATGAGACCCTGGAACCTGTGAGACCCTGGGAGCTGTGAGACCCTGGGACCTGTGAGACCCTGGGACCTGTGAGACCCTGGGACCTGTGAGACCCTGGGGCCTGTGAGACCCTGGGACCTGTGAGACCCTGGGACCTGTGAGTCCATGAGACCCTGGAACCTGTGAGACCCTGGGGCCTGTGAGACCCTGGGACCTGTGAGTCCATGAGACCCTGGGACCTGTGAGACCCTGGGACCTGTGAGACCCTGGGACCTGTGAGACACTGGGACCTGTGAGTCCATGAGACCCTGGGACCTGTGAGTCCATGAGACCCTGGGACCTGTGAGACCCTGGGACCTGTGAGACCCTGGGACCTGTGAGTCCATGAGACCCTGGGACCTGTGAGTCCATGAGACCCTGGGACCTGTGAGACCCTGGGGCCTGTGAGACCCTGGGACCTGTGAGACCCTGGGACCTGTGAGTCCATGAGACCCTGGAACCTGTGAGACCCTGGGGCCTGTGAGACCCTGGGGCCTGTGAGACCCTGGGGCCTGTGAGACCCTGGGACCTGTGAGACCCTGGGGCCTGTGAGACCCTGGGACCTGTGAGACCCTGGGGCCTGTGAGACCCTGGGGCCTGTGAGACCCTGGGACCTGTGAGACCCTGGGACCTGTGAGACCCTGGGACCTGTGAGACCCTGGGACCTGTGAGACCCTGGGACCTGTGAGTCCATGAGACCCTGGAACCTGTGAGACCCTGGGGCCTGTGAGACCCTGGGACCTGTGAGACCCTGGGGCCTGTGAGACCCTGGGACCTGTGAGACCCTGGGACCTGTGAGTCCATGAGACCCTGGAACCTGTGAGACCCTGGGGCCTGTGAGACCCTGGGGCCTGTGATTCCCTGAGACCCTGGGACCTGTGAGACCCTGGGACCTGTGAGACCCTGGGACCTGTGAGTCCATGAGACCCTGGGACCTGTGAGTCCATGAGACCCTGTGACCTGTGAGCCCCTGAGACCCTGGGACCTGTGAGTCGCTGAGACCCTAGAACCTGTGAGTGTCTAAGTCCACCCAGCTCTGATGGTATGTATGTGAGCTTGAAGCCCAACATTTACACGAGAAAAAAAACCTAATCACATAGTTCTAGTATAATTCTATTAATACATATCCTATCTATACATCTATTAGATGTAGATCTAGATTCTAGAATATCCTATCTATACATCTATTAGCTGTAGATCTAGATTCTAGAATATCCTATCTATACAATATACATCTATTAGATGTAGATCTAGATTCTAGAATATCATATCTATACATTTTTTAGATGCAGAACTAGATTCTAGAATATCCTATCTATACATCTATTAGATGTAGATCTAGATTCTAGAATATCCTATCTATACATCTATTAGAAGTAGATCTAGATTCTAGAATATCCTATCTATACATCTATTAGCTGTAGATCTAGATTCTAGAATAAGAATATCCTATCTATACAATATACATCTATTAGATGTAGATCTAGATTCTAGAATATCATATCTATACATTTTTTAGATGCAGAACTAGATTCTAGAATTTCTTATCTATACATCTATTAGATGCAGAACTAGATTCTAGAACTACTAGCTAGATTCTAGAATCTACTCACTAGCTTAGCCTGCAAACATTATTTCTTTAGCGTACTTTAAAAACAAAAAAAAACAACTAATGAATTAATTGCGATTCTAGATCTGAAATCACGGTACGACTAACTGAAAAGTTGACAACAAAGCATGCACCTTTAAGATTTGAACTTTGTCTAGTTGTTGTAATTATTACAATGCAAGAGCTTTATTAACTTTGTTAGCAAACCATAAACATTTATCTAGATTGCAAACCATAAACACTATTTAGATTGCACCGGAAGTTGATCTTCTTGGTGCGCGTATTTCACAGTTCAGTGCACACTGGTGCGAAAACAATTTTCAAAAATGTCATTTGAAGAAAATGAAAGAATTTAACTCAATGGATAAAAAAAAAATAACGCATTAAAAAGTGTACGCATTACAACATATTTATTTCTCTGTATAACTATGCAAACATGAGTTCGAATAACTACATTTAAATTGATCCACATTACATTTTAACATCAACATTTTTTTTTTTACTTTTACACATCAAAATAAGCATAAAATAGAGGAAAACGTAATTTAAGTTGTGGGGGATGTAGAGAGTGAGATAAATTAATACACACATCTGAAAACTCAGAAAACTACTGCATTTTACACTTTTTTTTTTTTTTTTTTAATTTTTATTTTTTTTATCTTAAGAATATGGGAGCCGCTATTATTAAGGGTGTATTAATTAATCTGATAAATTATTTATTTGTTAGCCTTGTTTTAAACGATGTAAGCTCAAGGTATATGCATGTTTAGGTTAATTGAGTTTCATAAACTACTTATAGCATGTTTGTTTATTTGCTACCCATTGACATTAAAAATGTAGTGTAAAAGTATTTTCAGATTTTGGTTATTTGAAGCTGATAAATTACTTAAAGCCTATATGTTACTCATTGTTATTTTATGTTTTCAGATTAAGGTTATTTTCACAATAGTTTTAGTTGTAAGTTTAGTGACCAAAATATTAACTACACTTATGAATGCAGGGTGTTACAAAGGGGTGTATGTTTGGGGGGGGGGGGGCAGGTACGGGGAGCTTGGGGGTACTGGTCTGTGTCTAGTGGTAGTCCCCGAAGCCTTGACGTTCAGAATAAGTAACTACTTTGGTCTGAGGTGGCGGTTGCAGTGGGTGCTATGGATTCAGTGGGTGCTATGGACTCAGTGGGTGCTATCGATGCTCTGGGTGCTATGGACTCTGTGGTTGCTGTGGGGTTGGCAGGCACTTCTGGATCTCTGGGTTCTGAGTGCTTGGAGTGGTCTGTGGATAACAGAGAGGTCCGTGATTAATTAAAGGTGAGTACATCATTTAACACTAAAGTATTTAGCCTAACCCAGTCAACTGGAGATATTGGTACGTTTCATCTGTCAGATATTGGTACGTTTCATCTGTCAGATATTGGTACGTTTCATCTGTCAGATATTGGTACGTTTCATCTGTCAGATATTGGTACGTTTCATCTGTCAGATATTGGTACGTTTCATCTGTCAGATATTGGTACGTTTCATCTGTCAGATATTGGTACGTTTCATCTGTCAGATATTGGTACTTTTAATCTGTCATATGCTGGTACTTTTCATTTGACATATAGGCCACATTATATGGCAACATGTACATACTGTGATCACGTGTTCACACTGTGACGCCATTTACACACTGTCATCACATGTACGCAAACATGTACCTATCATAGACATGGACCGAGTGACCTCTGTAGCCCTTTGTATAAGAATCGTCGGTAAACTTTTCCTTGACTGAGAAGAACCTTGTCCAGTAACGTAAAAATAGTTACAATTATTGATTTCTAGTGTGTAAATTCATACGCACATACATACACACATAAAACATATATATATTATATATATATATATATATATATATATATATATATATATATATATATATATATATATATATATATATATATATATATATATATATATATTTCACGCGAGAGAGATGGAGAGAGAGATTTTGGTTTGTGTCACAAAGCCTACATCTATGACCTCGTCCTAATCAAGAGTGTGTAGTTAAAGACGCTCCCAGCATACCTTTCCGCCAACTTGGGCGTGCAGCCTGAGACGCCCTTTTCCCAGACTTCCCACACAGTGCCTGCAGAATCCCACGGAAGAGCAACTTGACCTCCTTGCGGAACTTCTTCCCGAAGAAACAGTAGATGATGTAGTTGGTGGCGTTGTTGGCGTAGAGGAGGAAGCCAGCGATGTCGGTCCCTGTGGTCAACAACAAAAGGTTTATGTTGGGGTTATGTTGGGATGGTTGGTCGTAGTGGTGACCCAACTGAACACTTACCTTATACAAATTTCGGGACGGCGTGGTAAAACGCGCGACACGTACTATTAATTACATCAATAATTTTTTAAACTCATATTAAATTAAAAATAATACAGGTACTTAATTAAAGTGGTACTTATAAGGTTGGGGGGGGGGGGGGGGGGGTTGGGGGGACGAGCACCCCCCCAAAGAGTTACCTGGATGAAACTCTGAATAAAATTGAACACAACAATCAAAATCCACCAATTCAAATACAATAAGTGAAATAAACCTGTACAAACACACCATTTAAAACACTCACACATATTAGCACGAGCCCTGCCAACCTCAGTCTTGAGGTCGAACAACCTCGCAATGTTGAAGTACAGGACGGCCATTGGGAAACACGTGACGACAAACTGACAGTTGCTCACCACTGCCAATAGGATCAGCTGATAGCGGACTGAAAACATAAAGGGACATAACTACCTTAACTACACATTTTGTAATTATCGTTAATTAAATCCAGATAACGTTTTGTTTACTAAAGCCATCATGAATATTTAGTTTGGTTTTATGTTTCAATAATTTAA